GCTCACCAGCCCAATAATAAATTTTAAAAATAAAAAGGGAGGCAGGAGCTGGAGAGATAGCTCGGTGGTTAAGAGCGTTGGCAGCTCTTCCAGAGGTCTTGAGTTCAATTTCCAGCAACCACATGGTGGCTCACAACCATCTGTGATGGGATCTGATGCCCTCTTCCAGTGCGCAGGCAGACACGTCCCAGGTCTCTGCTTTGTTTAAAGTGGGACTGCTTTTACACCCATCCATCCACTCATTCACCTTGTTGTTTTTTTTTTCTTTTAAGATAAAGTTTTGCTGTGTAGCCCTGGCTGGCCTTTAACTCACAGCAACCCACCTGCCTCAAGCTTCCCATGCATTGGGATTATGGGTGTGTACCATTAAGTCTGTGTTTTTGCCTTTTAAATATTGAAATCTCATGTTAAAATGCCACTTGAATAAGGTTTCATACTGAAGGAAAGATATTCTAGCTAGATCCAGGGCTGCTAACTCTAGTTCCTGATGGACTGAAAATCTTGGACCATGTCTCCACGTCTCTAACTGAGAGAAACAGTAACTCTTCAGGTCCTCAAAGCCACAAGCCCTCCGGAACCAAAGGCTGCTCCCAAGAGTCCATCATGAGGCAGAAAGTAAGAGTGAGAGAGCAAGGATCTCAGGCTACTAGACAGTGGTGATAGAGGGGAAAGAGAGCAGACATCTTAGAGAATGGTTGAGGACTTATGGAGAACCATGTGCTCCCTGGCCGGGAGTTCCCCTGGAGTTCTCAATGCCTGGGAGAGCACCCATGTTCTCTCACAGCCTACAATATCAGACACTATGAATGACAGTCAAGGTGGTTTAGTTTGCCTTTTGTAAATTATAAGGAAATATAATGTGAACTACACATAAAACTTCAAGTTTTCTACTTAACTTACGTCTTTTTAAGCCATATGTATGACTCACACAGGTAATCTTGTTACTCAGAAGGCTGAAGCAGGAAGATTGCTCAAGTTTGAGGCCAGCCTGAGCTACTAATATGTTCTAGGACAGCCTGAACTATGATTTGAGATCCTGGTAATGTGAAAACCTATTGCAACCTCTTCAACAAAATTAACAACAACAAGCCCCCAAACCAAAACCAAAAAACAAAATAACTGTAAGTGAAAAGAAGCTTATAATGTCTACCCTGGGGAGGCTGAGGCAGAAGGATTATGAGTTTGAGGCCAACTGGAGCTACATAATGAGACCCTGTCTCAGGAAAACAGAACAAAACAAAACAGGTAAATTATTTTTATAAACTTTTCCATTTAACTCAAAAAATCCAACATGTCAATCATTTTAACATGAAATTCAATATAAAACTTGAGATAATTTACCTTTTATTTTATGCTAACTTTTCAAACTCTTATAGCGTGTGTGTGTGTGTGTGCACATGTGGAGGCCAAAGGACAAACTCAGCTGTCATTTCTAAGGGGTCATCCATCTTGCTTTGTGAGACAGGGTCTCTCAATGGCTAGAGAGCTATGCTGGTTGGCCAGGGTGTCAGGAACATGCTAGTCACTGCCTCTTCAGCGCTGGTGTTACAAGCATGTGATACCATCTTCAGTGTTGTTTGGTTTTTCCCAGGTATACCCTGGGGATGGAACTGGGGTCCTCAGGCCTGTGTGATAAGACTTTATAACTAAGTTCATCACCCCAGCCCTTCCAGCACAACTAAACTTAGACTAGTCACATGTCAAGTGGCTATCATTATTGCACAACACAGGACTAATGAATAAACACTTGCATTCCTAAGAAACCCCCAAATTGCTTTTCCATCACTGCAGACCCTAACCCTCATGCTTGGCCTGAGGCAATCTGAGAAACAGGGAGAAGAAAGGACTTTCTTCGGATGGAGGAGCAGGAGCCCCTCTCCCTGGGAACTGGTTTAACTCTCTTAATTAGAACTTCCAGACCATTTGCAATGGACTGAAATCTTTTTTTCTAAAAGGTATCTTCTAAGCAAGATTATGAACTATATATATAGTAAAAACATATGCCTGTATCTGCTGTGGACGATGGATAAGAAAAACACTTTTAACCTTAAATGCTACTATGCTTGGAAATTTACTTTTAAGCTATGTTTTGTACCCTCCTGTGTGCCACAGCACATGTAAGGAGGTCAGAGGACAACTGTGGCCGTCGGCTCTTTCCTCCCACCTTGTGGGTCCCAGGATTGAACTCGGTCACCAGGCTTGGCATAGCACCTTTGCTAAACCATCTCTCCAGCCTCCTGTGTTTTACAATGTACCTTGTAAAGCACCTTAAAATCTCACTTACTAAGAAAAGTTCTTTAGATTAAAAATAAGCAAAACAAAAAACTACTTTAAAAAAAGCAAAAGGGAAAATAAGTGTAACAAGACAATTTAATCTTTTAAATCCCCGAACAATGTAACTCTAAAACCTACCAAGCCGTATGTGTGTGTGTAGTGTGTGTGTGTATGTATGTATGTATGTATGTATATCTTGTCAAAACACAAGGCAGAAGGCAGCGCTCACTTTGGGTGTGCACAACTGCCTTATTCTTAAGGTTGGGGCATTCTTTCTAATCCTCCTGCTCTCTTCCTCTAAAACCACTTAAATCTCAGCAAGTGTTTTATTTATTCATTTATTTTGAGGTCAAGTCTCACTATGAAGCTCAGGCTGTCCCAGAACTCACTATGTAGATCAGGCTGGCCTCAAACTCACAGAGACCTGCGTGCTAAGTTCTAGGATGAAAGGCATGTGCCACTACACCCACCCCAGCATGTGTTATTTTTGTTCTTCATAAATCCCACACTTTACTTAATCAACATTGACTTGGCTTCATACTCACGGGTGCTAAAATTATTTTCCATAAGGTGAGTCAAGACCACGAGCCCCCCAGTAGGGCTCCCTGAAGAGAGCTCAGCTGCAGAGCTGGCAGTGCTAATGAGCTGATGCTCTCTCTCTTCCTTGGCAGCCTCCTCGGGTACATCTTCAGCCCTCGCACACACATCATCTTCTCCCTGGCAGTGGGATCTGTATCCCAGGCATTTCAGTCACTCCTCGGCTCTTGGCTATGATCCAGCAGGGTATTTGGACATCTGAAGCGGAATGCCTTCTCAAAGCTTATCTTAACTATCTACATAATCTTCTTCCCAAAATAAACTATGGGAGTTTACCTATTTTTACCAGTGACCTAAGTTCAACATCAAATTCTTCCATTCCCTTGATTCTGCCAATTCCTCTTTTTTTCTTCCTTCAGGGTCTTCCTCACTGGCCATTTCCTGCTGCTGACCTGTCCATGATGCTGTCAGCAAGAACAGGATCTAGTGTCATCCCTCCTCAGTGATTCTGTGGTACCTGAATGTCACCTTGCTTCTACCCCACTTCTGTCCTATACCACTCCAACCTTATTGGAGATAAGAATCTAGAGATCAGATTCACCGATCTCCTGGAAAAGCCTTAAAAAAAGAAAGAAAGAAAGAAAGCAGACAATCTTATTTAGCATCTCCTGAAAACGTCTTACATATCCTCATCTGTGTTTTATATTTCTACCCAGCAAGATGCCCTTGCTCCAGCTATGCTGTATATATAAGCAAATACTTTTGGGGGTGTGTGGAAATGAACGGTCTCATCCCATAGCTCCAGCTGGATTGGTACTTGCTATATAGACACTTGCCTCAGAGACCCACCTGCCTCTACTTCCTGTATCACCACACTAGGCTCTCAACAAATGCTTTTGTGTTAAGCACTGCCCCAAGTACTGGAGACAAACTAAACAATCCTAATTTCAGGTTTTCCCAGTTTGAGACATCTTCTTAGTGGGACATGGTGGCTCTCCCTGTAATCCCAACACTTGGCAGGTGGGAACAAGGAGGACAAGGGACCAAGGTTACATCCTCCTCTGCTACAGAGCAAGCCCAAGGCCTGCCTGAGATATATGAAACTGTCTCAAAACAATGAAAAAGTTCTTTCCTATGTCCATACAGAAGCAGTTTCTCATTATTAAGTTGTTTCTTTAAAAATTGTTTAATTAATTTATTTTTACATCTGGACCACAGTTTCCCCTCCCTCCTCTCCTGCTATTCCCTTCCCCCAAGTTGTTTCTTACATGGCAGTCTGTAACACTCAACCCTTAGAATTTGAAGCACTGTGTTGCAATTATTAACCTTTTCATAAATACCCATCTTCCCAAATAGAATGATTTTCTTCCAAGCATGAATCAGAGTCATGCTGAGAAGCAAAGGGTACTGAATGTGCACTTGACAAATATCTGGGAAGAGGGAAGGCCCTGTGGACCACCAGGAACTCTAGCCCAGGGACTGAGACCTGTAATACAAGCTACTCAAGAGGCTGAGGCAGAAGCATGATATGTTCAACCAACAGGGCCACAGAGAAAAGGGTCCTACTTAGAAAAGGGCCTATTCCCCTGGCTCCATCAGTAGACTGGCCAGTCAGGGCCAGGGGTCTGCAAGGATGCCAAGGTTGCTGGATGTACTAGGGAACTTCCACTTTACATTTGCAAAGAAGTTCAGAATCTGCAACATGTTATGCTGGCTTCAGAATTTCTACAACCTAAATTAGATCATCAACTTAAAAGAAAAAAAATCCTTCCTTGCCAAGTGTGGCGGCACATGCCTTCAGTCCCAGCTTTCAGAAGGCAGAGGCAGACGGATCTGTGAGTTCGAGGCCAGCCTGTTCTACACAGAGAGTCCCAAGACAACAAGGAGAGACTCTGTTCCCAAAAAACAAAAAACAAACAATAACATCCTCCCTTGATCATATTGAAAAAATCTAGCTAACAAACATATACAATATCTAATTTAAAAGTAAGAACTGGGCTAGCAAGATGGTTCAATGGGTAGAGGTGCTTGCCGCTAAGTTGGGTCTTCAGAACCTACATGGTGGATGAGGAGAAAAGAGTTCTGAAAGTTGTCCTCTACCTCCCCATGTGCTGTGTGGCACATGCTTCCCAAATAAATAAATAAATAAATAAATAAATAAATAAATAAAATGTTGAGGAAAGACTTACCACATGTTGTGCTCGAAAACTTTGGCTGGATCAGTTAAAATCCTTGACCCCAGAGGGGCCGCCGGGTGGACACCACTCTGACATCTGTGTGGCACCTTCCCTTGCCTCAGACGACAAATATAATTTCTCCAAATCACATTCATCCTAGAAATGACCTGCAAAGTCACAAACAGGTAACTAGTTAGTCAACAAGGATGAAAACAGTTTGCCAAAACCAAGCAGACACAATAAAAAAAAAGAAAGCCACAGATGAATTTCTTTGATGAACATAGATGTAAAAATTCTCAAGGAAATACTTGCAAGCCAAATTTAGGGAAACAATAAGAAGATTATACATTATGACCAAATGGGCTTCATCCCAAAAAGGCAAGGTCGGTTCAACATATGTAAATCAATAAATGTAATATAGCATAAATAGACTTAAGGACAGAAACTGCATAATTCTTTCAAAAGATGCTGAAAAGGCATCTGACAAATTCCAACTTGTGTTCACAAGAAAAATTCTGGAGATTTCAGGAATGGGAAGCAGCATGCCCCAAAGTAATAAAGGCTATATACAACAAACCATAGTCAACATTATTGTAAACGGAGGCAATCTGCGAGCATTCCCTCTAACTCAGGGATGGGACAAGGATGTCCATTCTCCTCTTTCTAATTTTTGGAGTACTCGAAGTCTTACCTGTAGCAATTCAACAAGACAAAGACATAAAACAGATAAAAGTAGGAAAGGAAGAAGTCAAACTATCCCTATCAGCAGACAACATGGTTCTTTACTTAAAAGATCCTATTGGGTTCCCAAGAAAACTCCTAGACCTAGTAAACAACTACAATAAAGTTGCAGGATACATAAATCAGTGTTTTTAAAAAATAGATTCCACATATAACAAAAAAAAGTACTCTCTAAGGAGAACAGTAGGAAAATATCCCATTTAAAACTCCCCCCACCTTCTCCCACTCCCCACCCCCAGATTAAGTATTTAGGAATATGTCTAACTAAAAAAGAAAAGGTCTGCTACAGACCTGCTTCTGATAAAGGAAATCACAGTTACTCGATGATGGAACAACCTTCCATTCTCCTGGACTGGTAGTTAATACATGGATACTTTTTTCCTTTTTTAAATTTATATTAGAAACAAGCTTTTTTTTACTTGTCAATCCCAGTTCCCTCTCCCTCCCCTCCTCCCCTACCCACCACCTGTCCCCTATCCCATCCCCTTTCTGCTCTCAAGGGAGGGTGAGGCCTTCCATGGATGGGGAATCTTCAAATACTGTCACATCATTTGGAGCAGGGCCTAGGCCCTCCCCGGTGTGTTTAGGCTGAGACAGTGTCTCTCTATGTGGAGTGGGCTCCCAAAGTCCATTCATATGCTAGGGATAAATACTGATCCACTACCAGAGGCCCCATAGATTAACCAGACCTCCAAACTGACACCCACGTTCAGGGGGTCTGAGACAGTGTATACATAGATACTTTTAAGAATGGTCAATAATACTGAAAATATTGTTCCCCATACAATACACATGTCTCAATTCTGACTCAAGAGAAGAATCATCAGTTGAAGCTGGTGTTGATAATTAAGTTGACAATTTAAACTTTAAAGGCTATGCCATGCTAAGTTTATTCTGGTAAACACGTCACTCTCACATCTTTATGGAAGTGTTCAAAAGACACTCTCGGTGAACACTGTGCTGCTGTTTGGCGGTTCAGCTGTTCCTCACGGCCCTCAGCCTACTGCCGTAACCAGTCCATAGAAACGGTGCTAGGTGAGATGTACGTGACAGGCACCAAGGCGATCAGATGTGCCGTTAGACATCAAACTGCAACCCTTTCTACCCCACTGAAGATGAACTTCAGAATGTCAAAAACATCTCACTATACTTTCACAACAATCTTCAAGGCTTTCCTGTTGGGGTTTAGTCAGGCAGTGAAGACTGGTTGGTTCCATCCGTGAGCCGTGCCTGCCCCGGCTCCATCCGTGAGCAGTGCCAGCTCCGGCTCCATCAGTGAGCCGTGCCTGCCCCGGCTCCAGCTCCTGCCTGCCCCGCTCCATCAGTGAGCATTGCCTGCCCCGCTCCATCAGTGAGCAGTGCCTGCCCCGGCTCCAGCTCCTGCCTGCCCCGCTCCATCAGTGAGCAGTGCCTGCCCCGGCTCCGGCTCCATCCGTGAGCAGTGCCAGCTCCGGCTCCATCAGTGAGCCGTGCCTGCCCCGGCTCCAGCTCCTGCCTGCCCCGCTCCATCAGTGAGCAGTGCCTGCCCGGCTCCATCCGTGAGCAGTGCCTGCCCCGGCTCCGGCTCCATCCGTGAGCAGTGCCAGCTCCGGCTCCATCAGTGAGCAGTGCCTGCCCGGCTCCATCCATGAGCATTGCCTGCCCGGCTCCATCCGTGAGCAGTGCCAGCTCCGGCTCCATCCGTGAGCAGTGCCTGCCCCGGCTCTTGGTCTCTTTTCCTTCTCCATGCAGTTCCACATTTACCCTCACGTGTCTTTGTTCTTTCTGCAGCCAGTACACCACACAACACCGATAAAAATTCTACCTACAAAACTATCTTTAGACCTTTCCGCATTAAATGCATTCATAAAATGTTCTGTATGCCGAAGAGCAGAACTGATTACACCCACAAAGACAGGTAATTCATGCTCAAAAATGTAAAATGATACAAACGATTCCCACCCAGGAAAGCTGGATCTAAATGTGATTCCACCTTTCCAATGATCATGTGATACTAACTGCTGTTCAAAAACAGTAAAAGACGGCAAAATTTCTCTCACTGTAAATGACCACACAAAAGACATAACTGGACATAACTGGTTACGAGCAAAATGTCAGGAGTGTGTGCCTTGCAGGCTGCTGGCTGGCAGACAGAGCTCGGTATGGCCAGGGCCTGAATGTGTGGCAGCTTCCTTGTTTGGGCAGCTGCTTCTTTAATTAACCACACAGACATCTATTTCTTTAATTTCTTTATCATATTTAATAGCCACATCTGGTGATGCACTGCTATTTATCTTCTTAATTAAATAAATATTTAATAAATCCAACAGAAACATAAAAATCTTTTAAATACATAATTTTAATGTATTTAAACTTCTCAAACTAAATTGTCAGCTTCTTGAAGTAGAGCATGGCTATTTGTGGATTGTTTGACAGACTGCATAAAAATGGTACTTATTTGACATAAAGGAAGAAAAAGACCCCATAGATACTGGAAAACTAAATGGGTATTATAGACAACTCTTTATTCATTTATTTATGGGAAAAATATCTTTGAAAAACTTACCAATAATAACTTTCTAAAACGTCACAAGTAAAAAAAAAAAACCGAAGCAAGCCTAAACTTACTAAATGAGTCTACAATTTAAATAAAAACAAGATCATGATGACTAACATACACTCTGTGTGTGTATGTGTGTGTGTATACATGCACATATATGTAAAGAATAAATCAGAAAATGCAAGTGATGGCAAGAATATAAGGAAACTGGAAACCTTACACACTGCTGATAGGATGTAAAATGATGCAGCTGCTATGGAAACAGTATCGTGAACTTCCCAAAAATTAGACCCAGAGCCAGCGATTCCATTTTTGGGTATATATTCAGAAGGAATGAAAGCAGAGAGGGACCTGAAAGATGTTTGTACACTCAGCTTCACGGTGGCACTGTAGACAAACAGTGAAGCAACCTGAAGTGTTCTCAGGAGGAATAAGAAGTACCCGACACTGTATTCTGACACAGGCTACAATAGGGGGTGGATCATAAAGACAGTCAGGCTAAGGAAACAGGACAGTCACAAATGCTCACGCGCTTTATTGTTCCTCTTAAAGACAGCTTCTAGAGCAATCAGATCCACAGTGACAGAGCAGAGTGGTGCTTGCAGAGGGGAGAACGTCTAATAGGCACAGGTCAGGAAACAGGAAATGAAATGATGTCAGGGAGAGCACATCCAGCTGTATGTTGGAGGAGCAAACCTAGAGAGCTACTGCACAACAGGAATTTTAAAGGCATGTGTTCTTCCCATGTATGATGATTTCACGATCAAATCCAGTATTTTATATGCCAACCTAAAATTTAATTTTAAAAGGTACATGTTCACACATAAGTGAGATTTCACTACATACATGCAGCGACATTAAAATGTCTTGCTGCACACCTTGAAGAGATGCAATTTTGACAGGAAGCACATGCCTATAATCCTAGCACTTGAACAGCAAAGGTGTGAGGCCAGCCTGGCGAGACTATGTCTCACAAAGCATAGCAAAACAAAATCCACGTCCTCAACAGACTAATGCATATGTGAATCAAAACAGAACGAGCTAGACCAAGAAACTGGGTGCAGTTCCATCGGGGAAGATGGAAAGTCCTAGAGATGGGTGCTGGTAATACTTGCACATGAATGTTTAATGCTTGCAAACCACACACTTTAGAAGGATTAAAATGGTAAATCTTCTTTTAGGTGTATGTATTTATCCACAATAAAAACCAAACAGCTTCCCTACAAAGAGATTTGCTGGTACATACATCCTCACCAGTGAACACCAAACACTGAAGAAAAACAAAAACCAATACCAACAGTACAAAACCCCACAGCAGATGAGAACATTTCTTAGCTTCTCTTCTGAGGCTAGCATCACTGGGAGAATTAAAATGAGTTTGTATGAAAAAAAAGGTTTGAATAGGGCCACATCATTACGATACAATTTTCTCACTGATGGTACTTCCCATTAGATTTTCAGGTTATAAAGAATTTGCTAGGAATAAAATTTGAGGATATCTAAGAGGTAAAGCCTAGGCAAGAGTTTTCTGAGCATTCCTTATTATACTTTAATTGCTGAGGCTGATATAGTCATGAGCTGCATAGCAATATGCTGGTTACAGACAAATTGCATATAGTAGTTTCCCTAAAATTGCAGTAGAAAAAAAGATTATAGTGGGAAAAAAATTCCCACCACCAAGTATTTTACCACACCTTTCCTATGTGTAGATAGACAAAGACTGCTATATTACAGTAGTCATGGTAGCAGTGCAGGAACGTTGTTCATAGTTGTTTTTTTTAATCTAGCAGAATTGGCTACAACATACAACTTAGGTATAAAGGGAGACTATATCATCTACACTGGTGTAGTGCATTCTATCATGTGCACATAACAACAAATCATCTACTGACATGTTTCTCAGAAGGTATCCCATCATTAATAAACTGTATTTAGTTTATGGCACTCCAGTTCCAAGCAGAGAAATAGAGCAACAAGACCTCCACACAGCCTAGTTACCTGTTTTGACCTTTGTTTACTTCTGCATCTGGAAAGGTGGTTGTAACCCTTCCCTTAGCTCAAGCAAATGTGCCACATTAAATTCTAGCCCGTGTCACCCAGTGGCATTTCTTTTCCTACCTCTATCCCGTTTTCAGCTCAGTACCCGGCAGTGACCCTTCCACGTGAATCCTATAAGGGCCAAGGTGAACTCACTGTGAACAAGAGTACAAATGTCAGAGCCCTTTAGAGCTCAAGGCCAAGACTTCATAGACAACTGGAGAGAATACTCACACAAGCATCAGATTGACAGTGTCACCACCAGTAGCACTGGTTATGCTCCAAGATCACAGAGGTGTACTGTGATTAGCCAACAGGTTTCCTGCCAGCTCTAGTTGTAGTCAGGTGTGGTGGTTTGAATGAGAATGCCCTCCCCCAGGTTCATATATTTGAATACTTGGTCACTATGGAGTGGCACTATTGTAAAGAATTAGAAGGTGTGGCCTTATTGGAGGAAGTATGCCACATGGGGGGTGGGCTTGGAGGGTCTAAAAGTCTATGCCAAGCCCACTGTCTCTCTCTTCCTGCTGCCTGTGGATCTGGATGTAGAACTTCCAACTACATGCCTGAATTCTGCCACGCTCCCCACCATAATGATGTGGACTTACCATCTGAAACTGTAAGCAAGCCCCAATTAAATGCTTCCCTTTATAAGGAAATAGTGCACCAATAGAACACCAAAGATAGCCTGACCTTTGTGGTGTACGCCTTTAATCCCAGCACTCGGGAGGCAGAGGCAGGCGGATCTCTGTGAGTTCGAGGCCAGCCTGGTCTACAAAGTGAGTGCCAGGACAGCCTCCAAAACAATACTGAGAAACCTTGTCTAGAAAAAAAAAAAAAAAAGAACACCAATGATAACAGTAAGTATCTGCCTACATTGGAATTTGAGGGGGGGAAAACAGTGCATGAAATGGGCTGGGTCCAGTAAAGAGTATGACAAGCTGAGGGTAAGATGGATTTGATACCCACTGGCCAGGGGCAGGCCATTGGGCTAACCACCACCATCACCACTTGGTTACAGAGGCAGCAGTGCTGAAAGGACAGCTTGTGGGAAACAGTTTGCTCCAACTCACTTTTGCCAAATGCCTTGTCCTCTACTAAAATGAACCCTCCTTTTCAGTAATTCATACAGCTGCAGACCCATACCAACTACAACACAGTCTACTGGGATTGGTAAAATGTATATAATACACATAAAAATTCCTCTCATGCTGTGTGTATGTATGTGTGTGTGCACACCTGTGTCCATGCACACTCATGCAAAGGAGAGCGGAGAATACTGTGTGCCTCTATCATTCTCTTGAGACAGTTTCTTAGCAAACTGGAAGCTTACTCTTGGGTGGCTTCCAGTGGACTTCTGGGATCCCTCCTCTACTCTCCACATGAGCTATAGGCACACATGGCTTCTTATGTGGGTGCTTAAGGACTCAAACTCAGGTCCTTAAGCTTTCACTGCAAGGACTCCTACCTACATGGCCATTTCCCTCCCTCCACTTATTTTTCTGAGGGCAAGGTCTCTGTTTGGCCAGTGAATTCCAGGGATCTACCTGTCACCACCTCTGTGCACTGGGAGTAGAAGCACAAGCTACGATGCCCAGGATTGGTGTTTTG